CCGCGACATTATTACATATACCAAACCACTTTCATCACATTATTACATCCGTCATACCACATCCACGACATTATTACATCCGTATACCACATCCACGACACTATTACATCCGTATACCACTTCCATGACATTATTACATCCGTTATACAACATCCACGACATTATTACATCCGTCATACCACATCCACGACACTATTACATCCGTATACCACATCCATGACATTATTACATCCGTTATACAACATCAACGACATTATTACATCCGTATACCACATCCATGACATTATTACATCCGTTATACAACATCCACGACATTATTACATATACCAAACCACTTTCATCACATTATTACATCCGTCATACCACATCCACGACATTATTACATCCGTATACCACATCCACGACACTATTACATCCGTATACCACATCCATGACATTATTACATCCGTTATACAACATCCACGACATTATTACATCCGTATACCACATCCACGACACTATTACATCCGTATACCACATCCATGACATTATTACATCCGTTATACAACATCCACGACATTATTACGTCCGTCATACCACATCCATGACATTATTACATCCGTATACCACATCCATGACATTATTATATCATGGTATTATTGCATCCGTATACCACATCCACATTATTACATCCGTCATGCCACATCCACGACAGTATCACATCCGTTATACCACACCTACATTACTGTTATACCGTTATACCACAAAAATAACGTATTTACCATCATTATCCACCGTATTATTCCAGCTATCCCGCGGCCTGTAATAAGAGACTGAGACAGTGATGGATAGTATGAACACTCTTCGCCGTCAGGGCCCGATGACACACAACCAGCCAGAAGAAGATGGTGCCCTGTTAGGTCGGCTCCAAGCACTGGGTGTGCCGGGCACTTATTCTGCCCCGAAAGAAACAGCTGCAGATGAGGGGTGAAGAGGAGGACAACTATCAGCCTGGTGATGCTCACTATGATTCCTCAGAGACATGCTTGTAGATGTGTCTTCCTGCTAGTTAATTCATGCCAACCAATCCCGATGAAGCTCGGATCTACCGTCCCTGTATATCAATAGCATGTAATAACCCCGACTGGTTACAGACCACAATTACATCCTGCCTAATCAGTTCAGTATTGATCAGTGAATCTGTCTATATCCCAGTCCAATTTGTTTCATGCATTATATTACCAATTATAACCAGATGTCGTATCACGGACCTAAACAACCGTTATATAGGCCAGTGGTGTATAAAACCTACAGAAACTAAAAATCCTTGTAACCAAAGTTAGCACAACTATAGTTTTTCCACAATTTTATAATTTTTCACACAATTTTAAACATATGTTTATAAATGTTATGTCTGATCCCACGGGTATCAGTCCAACAGGAGGTCACCACTGCCCACCTTCAGGCCGACATCGCTGGACACAGGATCACCCACACGACCGCCATAGCTATACAAGGCTTGGCTGTGATTCTTGAAATCACCGTTTATTCATCACCGGCAACAAAGGATGGGACGAAATGTCAGTTCGATGTAACAAACTCCCTGTTGATCAGGCATGTCTGACTTTTGACTGAGTTCTGTTGACCGGGTAATATTACAGGGTCATGTGGGTGGTATTAAAGGACGACCAGGAAATTCCCGGATGAACGATTTGACTGAATCATGTATGTTACATAACAAACATGTCGACTACAGAGTCGGGTTCAGGGTTTGAAGAAAAGTCTGGTGTGCATACTACTCCAGTCAGCAAGTGAACAAAAACATATGAACGGAATGACACGCATGTTGGCCCAACCCTTACACCCCCAAACCCCCATCCATCTTGCAGACATAATCCAAACTCCCACCCTTCTTGCACCTAAAGTCCAAACTCCCACCCTTCTTGATCCCACAGTCCAAACCCCCATCCTTCTTGATCCCACAGTCCAACTCACACCCTTCTTGATCCCAAAGTCCCAACTCCCATCCTTCTTGATCCCACAGTCCAAACTCCCATCCTTCTTGAAACCCAAAGTCCCAACTCCCACCCTTCTTGCACCCACAGTCCAAACTCCCATTCCTCTTGCACCCACAATCCAAACTCCCACCCTTCTTGCACCAACAATCCAAACTCCCACCCTTCTTGCACCTAAAGTCCAAACTCCCACCCTTCTTGATCCCACAGTCCAAACCCCCATCCTTCTTGATCCCACAGTCCAACTCACACCCTTCTTGATCCCAAAGTCCCAACTCCCATCCTTCTTGATCCCACAGTCCAAACCCCCATCCTTCTTGATCCCACAGTCCAACTCACACCCTTCTTGATCCCAAAGTCCCAACTCACACCCTTCTTGCATCCACAGTCCAAACTCCCATTCCTCTTGCACCCACAATCCAAACTCCCACCCTTCTTGTACCCACAATCCAAACTCCCACCCTTCTTGCACCAACAATCCAAACTCCCACCCTTCTTGCACCTAAAGTCCAAACTCCCACCCTTCTTGATCCCACAGTCCAAACCCCCATCCTTCTTGATCCCACAGTCCAACTCACACCCTTCTTGATCCCAAAGTCCCAACTCCCATCTTTCTTGATCCCACAGTCCAACTCACACCCTTCTTGATCCCAAAGTCCCAACTCACACCCTTCTTGCACCCACAGTCCAAACTCCCATTCCTCTTGCACCCACAATCCAAACTCCCACCCTTCTTGTACCCACAATCCAAACTCCCACCCTTCTTGCACCAACAATCCAAACTCCCACCCTTCTTGCACCTAAAGTCCAAACTCCCACCCTTCTTGATCCCACAGTCCAAACCCCCATCCTTCTTGATCCCACAGTCCAACTCACACCCTTCTTGATCCCAAAGTCCCAACTCCCATCCTTCTTGATCCCACAGTCCAACTCACACCCTTCTTGATCCCAAAGTCCCAACTCCCATCCTTCTTGCACCCACAGTCCAAACTCCCATACTTCTTGCACCCACAGTCCAAACTCCCACCCTTCTTGTGCCATCAAACCAAACTCTCATCCCTCTTGGGAAATGAATGAAACTTACCTACCATCATCCAAAATATATCACAAAGAGAGATAATGTTTTCTGCTTTCCGGAACTTCATATGTATTTGTGCGTATGCCTAAACTGTATAATACCCAACACACTGCTATTGTGAAACTTCGGCAATATATTAGCCATACAGCGTTCAGTTAAATAACAAACAGGGGGCATATATCTTCGCTATAACTCGTACACATCTAGCCACCATTATCGATTTTCACAATGAGACAGGGATGAGATTTTGTTTTGTTGTCGTTGGGGTTACACCTCTGACTACGTTGCAACATACACACACACGGATAATGTATATTACACATCGTGGTTACGTCATAGAAGGTGCCACCAGCGGTGATAAATGATCTATAACTCACCACCATCTTGTAATATTGCCTGACCACTGACCACTCGGCGCGTGATGGAGTTGTACTGCATCTCTGTGATGTTAGTATCGATCCCAGGCTACAGTTTGCCCGCCTCGCATCACACGGAAAATTCCTTCATCAGCTAATCTATTCCGTATATACCGACAGGAGCTCTACGACTGTTTGGTATATACCTTTAAGAGTTATATTTAAATGGATAAATATCGTACAGATAATATATAGAGTGACATATCTGTCTGAGTTATGCTTATGATGATACTGCAACTGATTAGTGATATATGTAAATGGGCCACTCAATGTGATGTTCAATGCTAATCGATACCCCCTTTAATGGGTTATGGTTGAGAACCTCAAAGAGGAGGACAATGGTCAATGCCATACAAAAGCTGTATAAATCTCACGTTTTGCCCGTAGTTACAGATAGAGCTGCCGCTTGGGATACTAAGGAATACCATTATCACAAGGTTAAGAATCTGACGTGTAGATTCTGCCTTGTTCCTAAATACGACACTCATGATTCTGTAAATTGTCACTGGGAGCCATTGAAAATTGTTCAGTGGAAGAAAGTGCTTGGTCACTGGGACCGAGTAGTTAATATGGGCTAAATATGTTAATATTTAATAGGGGATGCACAACTATGATACCCGTATCAAATACATCACCGTCGAATAACCATTTCTTTTTTGTTCATTTTTAGCCACTATCACACATGTGTGTTTACTTTTTTTGCCCAACTGTTTTTACAGTTGAATCACTTTAATGCTGCATCTGTTTTCATTACTTATCGATGTGCACTGGCTTGTGGTTGAGAGCGGGCGAAGTGTTAGTGGTTCGACGCCGCTTACCAGTATTTCCGTTATATCACGCCGTGTCAGCTTGATGTGGAAGGAATGCCCGCGATGAAGGAACCCATGACCACGTGTTGGTACTGACAAACCAAGAAACAAGGACAAAACAGGGATTCAAACAACGATCATAGGTTTCTGGCGCGGCAAAGGGACGTAATCCTGGACAGCAAACTGCGGCGTCTAAGACGACTGGGCCACCCGTGCCCACGATGAACGTTTACATCGTCATGTATTATAAAAGGGTTTAGGTATAAGTTCAATCTAATCTCATTTTGTGTTTGTGCAGTTAGAGGTAGACACGCTGCAGTGTATGTCGTGGGTATAAAGACACGAGTTCTCCTGATCATGAAAAAGGGAAATATATCACAGGATTGGGTGAACGAGTGATGGACATGGATGTGGTTGGCTGCCCTTTCGTACCAATATTTGACACTATAAGTGCATTTACGCACGGATATCAGCGAATACTTATCCAAAAAGCAACAACACACGATGATTAGTTTAAACAACTGGCGAGATCACTCCATGTCCTGGCAAGCGTCTCTCCATGTAGCTGATCAACGACCTGCCTTCCTGAACTGGTCTAGCAGTACTGACTACAGATCTTCGATCAGCTACCGAGTTGCCTGTCTCGTGTGTAACCACCATACTGGCACAACACGCCACAACCGTACACAACGTACTATCTTACCTGTAAGTACATCCACAACTGTCATCCCCGATTGTGTCTGACGTTCATCCTGACGTGTGTCGTCTGTAGATATATCCGTCCTGCTATTGCGAAGCAGTGTTCACGTCCTGCTTTCCGGTTCAATGAACTAACGATCGCATGCTTCTTTTCTTTCATAAAATAAAAGAATCGATCAATCATGCATATGAACTAAAAGACAGGTAAATCGAACATTCTTGACTTGATTTTGTTCATCTTAGTCCTCACGTCCGTGTTGCCGTATCATTTCAATATTGTTCACAGATAGACCTTTATCCACAGTCAATTCAGCTATACTATTGGTTTTCCATATCTTTTGTTATGAGCTATTATAAGGTGTACACATTACCTGTATAGCGCCGCGCAAGTCTACTCGTGTTGTCACGGGAGATAAACACAATTGCTCACATTGACTTATATATATTACCGGCTGGTCAGAAGTAGGGTGTGTGTCAAAGGTTCATTATCATAATAAATGCACGTACATATAAATTACCGTTATACCCGTAAATCGAAATAGCAAAATTAAAATGTTCCCAAAGTGAGTGTGAAATTATGGTATACCATTTGCCTGTATAAAGCTTACACACTTGCGAAATCTTAAACGTTTATTTGGCTTACACACTTGCGAAATCTTACACTTATCTTTGGCAAGACTGGCCGAATAGCTATAAACGTGAACACCTTTGTTGACATATCCGTGTCCTCTTTAGTAAAAGAGATTTATGGGTTGGGTTCAAGGGTGAATTTTCGAGGGTATCGGACAGTACACAGGCGAATTCTATACTATGTTAGGAATGTATTTTCAGTGACAGACTAGGGTCAAAAGGTTATTGCGTAATGTCTTTAAGAAAGCTTGCCCGTGACTATGAATAAGCACAGGAGAGACATAGTAAGCTGATAACATGATTACAAAACATAAGCGACGAGTGAGTGAGTTGGGCTTCACACCGCTTTGCGTCAGCTTGGTGCGGGAGGAAAGTCCGAAGTGATGCAGGTCTCATACGTTTACCACTCACCCGAGCACGAGTGCTGACAAACATAGAAACATAAGGGACGCAACTCTGCACAGAGAATTGCGTCGCCTGAAGACGACTGGGTCAGCCGTGCTCCCTTTTAGCAGAGATCATATAATATATATATATATGGTCTCTGCTTTTAGCAAACGGCGTTAAGGTTTAACAGTATCGCAGTGATGGAATGAATATGAGATGTAAATGTCACATATGAATACAACTTTAGAATTTGAAACCAAACGCACCTTGCTGAGGTTATAAATGATAGCGCGAGCAAATATCATAACTCTATTGTACCGTGAAAACAGAAGATGGAAATATTTCATAACGGTACTTTCCGTTTGTAAATCAGCCACCCATGGTAGACGATTGCTTGGATCAGCCTGTGGTGGAGGTGTTGTACTTTCACAAATACGACAGAAACCAATTGATACAGATGGCACTTCTATAAGATCGATATCACGCATCACTTCTGTATGTTCGATATCACGCACCATTCTATGACATCGATATCACTTCTATAACATCGATATCACGCATCACTTCTATATGATTGATATCACTGATCATTCCTAAAAGATCGATATCACACATCAATTCTATAAGATCGATATCACGCATCACTTCTATAACATCGATATCAAGGATCAATTCTGTAATATCTATATCACACATCACTTCTATCATATCGATACCACGTATTACTCCTAAAAGATCGATATCACGCATCACTTCTATAACATCGATATCAAGCATCACTTCTATAAGATCGATATCACGCATCACTTCTATATGATCGATATCACGTATCATTCCTAAAAGATCGATATCACACATCAATTCTATAAGATCGATATCACGCATCACTTGTATAAGATCGATATCAAGCATCACTTCTATGAGATCGACATGAAGCATCACTTGTATAAGATCGATATCAAGCATCACATCTATAACATCGATATCAAGCATCACGTCTATAAGATCGATACCAAGCATCACTTCTATAAGATCGATATCAATCATGACATCTATAAGGTCGATATCAAGCATCACATCTATGAGCTCGACATGAAGCATCACTTGTATAAGATCGATATCAAACATGACATCTATAAGATCGATATCAAGCATCACGTCCATAAGATCGATATCAAACATGACATCTATAAGATCGATATCAAGCATCACGTCTATAAGATCGATATCAAGCATGACATCTATAAGATCGATATCATACATCACTTGTATAAGATCGATATCAAGCATCACGTCTATAAGATCGATATCAAGCATCACTTGAATAAGTTCGATATCAAGCATCACTTCAATAAGATCGATATCAAGCATCACATCTATGAGATCGACATGAAGCATCACTTGAATAAGATCGATATCAAGCCTGACATCTATCAGATCGATATCAAGCATCACATCTATAAGATCGATATCAAGCATCAAGTCTATAAGATCGATATCAAGCATGACATCTATAAGATCGATATCAAGCATCACGTCTATAAGATCGATATCAAGCATGACATCTATAAGATCGATATCAAACATGACATCTATAAGATCGATATCAAGCATGACATCTATAAGATCGATATCAAGCATGACATCTATAAGAGCGATATCAAGCATCACATCTATGAGATCGACATGAAGCGAAGCATCACTTGTATAAGATCGATATCAAACATGACATCTATAAGATCGATATCAAGCATCACGTCTATAAGATCGATATCAAACATGACATCTATAAGATAGATATCAAGCATCACGTCTATAAGATCGATATCAAGCATCACATCTATAAGATCGATATCAAGCATCACGTCTATAAGATCGATATCAAGCATCACATCTATAAGATCGATATCATACATCACTTTTATAAGATCGATATCAAGCATCACGTCTATAAGATCGATATCAAGCATCACTTGAATAAGTTCGATATCAAGCATCACTTCCATAAGATCGATATCAAGCATCACATCTATGAGATCGACATGAAGCATCACTTGTATAAGATCCATATCAAGCCTGACATCTATAAGTTCGATATCAAGCATCACGTCTATAAGATCGATATCAAGCCTGCCATCTATTAGATCAATATCAAGCATCACATCTATAAGATCGATATCAAGCATCACGTCTATAAGATCGATATCAAACATGAAATCTATCAGATCGATATCAAGCATCACATCTATGAGGTCGATTTCAAGCATCACGTCTATAAGATCGATATCAGACATGACATCTATAAGATCGATATCAAGCATCACGTCTATAAGATCGATATCAAGCATGACATCTATAAGATCGATATCAAACATGACATCTATAAGATCGATATCAAGCATGACATCTATAAGATCGATATCAGGCATGACATCTATAAGATCGATATCAAGCATGACATCTATAATATCGATATAATGATAAAGGGGGTGGGGTGGATGCAGATAATTGATTGTTTTGTAACCTGATATATGTATGAACAACTGGGGACCTATTCAGCCCTGGAACCCCCCAGGGAATAAACTCCATAACCAACACGGCGAGTAGTACATGTAAACTGCCGGGCAAAAGAGAGTTTGATGGGGCTGAAAATTGCACAAACAAGAATGGTTATCCGTTGCTGTATTTAATAGGGGTATCACAGTTGTGTTACGGCGATTGTTTTCAGCCTAGTAACGTTTTGACAACGTTTGTGATTTGGGTTAAATCCAATCTTCAAGTGTATACTTTCTTTTACCCGGCAGTTTACGTTAGGTCTGCGTGCATCCGTGTTTGTCGTCAGCCGAGTCACTGAGACTGAATATGGCCCACGCTGACCTATGAATGTAATCGTGCCACGACCATATCAATAGTTACTCATGCTATCAACCATCAGTTTGTCTTGATTATATTACCTGCAGGTCGCCCTGTTCTAGTTTCACTCATTCCTTCTACGTACGTCACAAAAGTAGTTTGCCAAATATTGATTAATGATCACATCTACTCCGACGGATATATTCAACAACGAACATATCCACAACGACGCATACTGTCTGTTGCTAACAACCCTGTATCAACATCAGTGTAAATACAAGATACTTCACAGCGCTGTATATTCCATGTGAAACCCAAGCATGCTATTTTACCCCATGAACTTACAGATCGATTCATGAAGATATCTCGTAAGCGTCTTAGAAACAATCCCCATTGGCAACTGCAATCAACTGAACTGGATTTTTTAAAATAAAACAAACGTGGCTACTTCGTTGTTACCATGAGCTGACTTTATGAGTATGTGTTGTGAAGATTGGGCATTGGTTCAGTGGGTGTGATAGAGTAAACGCCTCTTAGTAAAGTACATAAACTGCCGGACAAAAGAAAATATACACTTCAAAATTGGATTTGACCAAAACATGACAAACGTTATCTAAATGTTGCTAGGCCGAAAGCTAGAGTCCCAAACACAACTATTATATCCGTATCAATTACATCACGATCGGATAACCATTTCATGTGGGTTTTTTTATTTTAGCCACCATGGCTGTATGATTTCTGTTGCCCCGCAGTTAAGTTCAGTTGTCACTGTGTGCCTGCTTCATGTGGGAGGGCAGCGCGAAGGGGTGCGAATCTGGGATTCAAACCCTTGATTATAGGATTCGGTCAGGGCTAAGGTACTCAGTACAACAGTGCCTTAGACGACAAGACAGCATATGACCCCAGTTTTAGTGAACGAGAGATGCACAGCTGAATAACAGACACAAGAGTATTGTACAATTGAATGTCACAGAATAAAATATGCGCACTATGATCAACAGAAAGTGAAACCTGGAAACATCCAGCGATGAAAACTGAACTCAGAAAGTGATAGGAGGAAGAAGAGAGAGTCATGAATACGTGGAGTGAGTGAGTATTGTTTTACGCCGCTTTTAGCATTATTCCAGCAATATCACGGCTGGGGTCACCAGAAATGGGCTTCACACATTGTACCCATGTCGGGAATCCAACCCGGGTGTTCGGCGTGACGAGCGAACGCTTTAACCACTAGGCTACCCGACTGCCCCATGAATGCGTGGGAACAATCCAGGCAAGAAACAGAGGAGATAAAGGAAACAGAAGGCAGAAACGGA